CCACTAAGCACTAGTCCTATCATGAAATCCCTCAAACTATGCTTCAAATCAACACTTTTCACTTTCAAGTGGACTTCATATAAACAAGCAGATGGAGAAGCCATGTGATCTCCAGTATCTCCTCTAGTTGTAAATTTATTTATATTCCACATTGGGTCGCTTATTTTCGCCAGCATCATCAAACCACGCATCTGGCTCAGATATGTAGATAACACATTTGTCATCATTAAAAAGATTCTTGAGAATTTCTCCAAAAAGATAAACACCTCGAAAAACATTAAACTCACTTTCGAAAATAAAGATGAACATAGTGAACTACCATTCTTAGACTGTTAAGTTAAAAGGAATCTAATAAAAGTATGGATCTAACTACATACCGAAAACCGACACATTCAAATCTGTATATGAATTTTAACTCTACACATCCTATCAGTGCGAAAATTTTCCTAGCCGTGAATCCTTTCAGAAGTACAACCAAGGTCATTACCTCTGAAGAAGACAAGCTGAAAGAATATAACCAACATTCTATGTTCTAATGATCTTCCTAAAATTATTATTAAAAGCATATTAAAACAAAACTGTCATTCGGTAAATAACAATCCTTAACGCCAAGGTACGAAAGAAGAATTACGATGGAGATTAAAAACTCACAAAAATAAAGCTTTCTATAAGACAACATTTTAAGAAACGCTTTAGTTAGAATATAATATAAAATTCCGTTCACGTTCACTCATAATTATTTCTACAGATTAGGTTGTATCAGTTGTTATGCGTTCTATACTGAAGTCTGCCCGTTAGATCTCGACGTGTCAAGGAACACATAAGTTACACAAAAGATCTAATAATCCTGTAGAATGGGGAGTTTCCTATCACAAATACCAAGTTTTGTACTTTATTAGAATTTCAAAATTTGAAAAATTCCCATATTGTGATTTAGAACAACATATATAAGCGAACAATATTGTTTTCCTTATCAGACCTTGCTCTAATATACAGTAATATTTCTACGCATATACGAAACGACTAAACCAACCAAGGCAGTTGATGAGTCAATGATAACAGTGGAATAGATTGCATAATATGTGAAAAGTACAAATTGGTAGTGTGATGACAGGTGTACTAGTTTTGATAAGAATAATTAAGGCTCAAATCAATGTTACACAATCGGAACTAGGTCAATAATTAGAAAGATATAGGTTAGATAAATTTTATAAAAATTATAAGATGACGTGATAAGAAGTGTTCAGATAATTGGACAGTGAAGCGTATATTTGAGAAAAGGATGGGAGTGTGACAAAAAGTAAACGAAGAAAGAGTATAGAAACTAATAATAAATAAAATCATTTATTAAGACCAAGGGAGAGATAAAGTTGTAACAAATTTATGAACACAAAAACATGGATTGTTAGCTCGAATTCCCATAGCTTCTGCTATGTGTAAGAGACATAATCGAAACCATAAGGAAAACTAGTAGAAACACGATACATTACTTTAAATGACCCATTCCTATCTGCTATATGACCGCTGTCGATCAAGTGTGATAGGACAGTGCTGCATATTGTCTTGATGATATCCTTTCCTTACCACGAGGGAAGGTGTTCACCAACTCGTTGGCCGAGTTTTCTGGTAGTCCGCCTAATATAGCTTGCCCCAAAAGAGCAGCTGAATTCGTAGATACACATAGATGTGGGAGGACTAGTTAACTAACTATTTAGTTGAGGAGTCATCATAGATCGGGTCAATTATGATAGACAGAGGTTAGCTGTATTTAACGTTCTCTTAACTGCTATAGTCAGTCTATCACATATCACCAGCTACATCTCCATTGATTTATCATTTATAGATAGATTGTGGTCTTGCATTTTTTGCTATTGATCATATGAGCTTTTGAGTCTGAACAATGCAGAGTAAAACGATGTACTTAGCTGGTTGTTCTGGCTCGTGATTTGGGAGAGTATGAACTTCACGTGGCCAGTCAGTCCTTAGCTATACAATAATGGCATTAGATGGCAGTGTTCTAAGTATATTCAGTTTCACAGAACCCTGTGTATTTTAAATTTTATTTAGTCACAAATATTTCATCTCACCAAACTAAAGCAAAACGTAACACCCTTTCATTTATAGTAAATTACTAATCTTTGAAATAAGCTTCAATGGGTTACTAAGAATTATAAACATTCTCTGTTTCTAGTCACATTTCATTAAAAGATACGCTGATCACAACAGGATTCGAAAATGTGTGAGGGTCGTAGTGAAAGCAAAGATCCTGCGTTCGATCTAAGGTGGAATCTTCAAAATGGATCCCGAAAAACATTGTGAATTTAACTTCTATTGCTTTTTTAGTTGCATTGAACACTGCTTACCATCATTTAGGGTATCGATTGTGGAGTACATAAAAGAATCAATAAATGAAAACTAATATGAAAAGCCGAATTAAAATTTTTCATCCCATTATTTTTCAAGCTGACTTGTAAAAAATTGCTGAAAACAGCTATGGACTCGACTTTCTGAATCCATACCTCCATGCATACCTTAAAGACATTCTATAAATACCAATACCCAAGCCATATTCAAATATCCCAGTTTCATGTTTTGCCGCCTTATGCCCTAACCAGTTACAATTTGCGAACGATAGGACAACAGTTACCAAAATTATGACAAACTTCGTTCCGTATGTTTGTTTTGAGGATATCTCCTAAATTTCAATCAATCACAAAACATTGAGTCAGTTAGCTACAACGTAGAAACAGTCGCCATACCTCATTAGCACAAGATGAACACCGGATTCATAAAAGTAGTTAATTCAGTGGTGGTAATATATAAAAGAAAAATTCCATATAAGGAAGAAAGATTTAGTACGTAGAAAGAAAGATATGAAGCGATTTTAATCTCTTAGTTTAAAGGAAGATAGAGAGTGTATTCACCTACGCCATTGTGATCGATTCCGAGCCATGTCACCAAGAATCTCCAACCATTGATTGTGATAGTCACGCGGACCCCAACCTAGTAGTCTGCATCTACCAACATGGCGCAGACTTCAAGCACTGATGCCGCGTTTCGGTTTGGCATTGTTTATTATATTAAAAACTATCAAAGCAAATTATCAGTAGACCAAATATGGAATTAGTCATATATATGTATAGCGAATCGTCAGTGAAAAATAAGGTGTATCCCTGATCCTTAAAGTGTTGTCATTTAGTACATTTCATGTGAATATAGACATTTAACTTACCTATAAACTAATAGAAAGCGTTGACCATCATTAGAATAAGTATTATTAATCATCTTACTAGTTACTTGAGACAGAACGATATGATTAATTGAATGTAGATGCTTTAATCTCTATGAGCTCTTGTTTTATGAATCATGCGAGGTTCAATTCAATAACAATTAAATTTTCTATACCCAGTTTGATTTCAGTCAGATGAATAACGTCAAATGATTTATAAATTCGTGCTTTCCATAATGAAGGCATTTCATTAGGTATACTGATCTTTCGAAAAACCACATGAAATGATATGATTATATGAGATATCATTCTATATATGGTAAATGTAAAATTACATTTATTGAATTATTTAGTGTATCTTTTTAATGTGACAAAATCAATGGATAAAAAATCTACTGAATATAACACGACCAAACGGTTAAAATGTGTAATTTTTTCCACATACCTTATGAAACATTGTTGACCTCGTCTTGGTTTTCCAGACAAATCAAAATCTATTTGAGTAGTTTTATATTTTACACAACACTTCATATATTATGATAAAATGTAACACAGTAGTGTCATTTACAACCACCGTTAATAAAGTGTATTCTGAGTGTTAATAACATTTACTAACTTCTATTTATCATTGTGAGGTATACGACCTAGTAAAGTATACTCAAAGAGTGTAACTACTGAGCTACCGTTTCACATTATATGTACAGTGATGTTTACTCATTTTATTAGTTTTCCTTGAGACAGGTTTTCACATTTTACTTTCGTGTGATCAAGTAATCGTTGAAATAAAGTTGAGCACCAGTTATACGATCTGCCTGGTCGATTTTAGATTTGCTTTGATATTGTTAGAATCTCCTTGGCCGCAGTAACGAGTAGGACAAAATGTTATATCCCAATAAGAATAGTGAATGGTAATTTTCGGGATCCATTTGTGGACCGACATTACAAGTATATTTTTATCGTATAATTGTTACGCAACTAGTCTGTTCATATCCATGTCCCTCTTATTATGAGTTTTACTTTGACCTATGAACTATTATTATACGATTTACCATTCTTGAGTTATGCCCTATCTATTGATTCCTATCTCCCTCATTCACAGCCACACCTGGCTAATTCTTGTACAAATGTTGTTTCATATTTTATTGGTACGTTGTGGTCTGTTTGATTGATATATAAACAGAGTATGTTTGAAATATAATGATTCATATCACCGAGGTTGAGATTTGTGTTCTGGACTCAACTGGCTGGGCTAGACAGGGAAGCACGACCAATCAGTACTCAAGGCTGCTCGCTCGTATTTTATGCGTCACTGTTTCAATCGATAATTTCGCTGCTCCCCTAATCGGTGGGTAACAAGATATAACACAAAAAAACATTCTAATTTTACTCAACACTAAACCATTGTTATCATAAAACCATCCAACTCATTATTTAATATGACGGTAAGTGACGACGCATCGGGCTGAATAGCTTTCATAGTACATCACCTAATGCTTACTGTTTACTGATAGAGGAGATATCTAGAATTCTTGTGCGGATCACAAAAACCGTCTTTTTGAAACCTGTGCGCGTTTTCGGAATAGTTGAACGATAAATATAGTATAACTTGTATTACACAAATCATATCTGAGCAGTACAGAATAGTGTGAATAGGAGTTAGAGCTAAAACTACTAGATATAATCTGCTTGACTGTTGAGCTTATCGGATGTGAAAAACGATCTTTTATTATATCGATTTCCTACGCACACAAAATTCAACTGAAAGAAAAGTCATAAAAATATAAACTATATATTATTTAGAGTGGGAAGTATTTACATAACATAGTGAAGGATTCTCACAGTCGATACTATATACATTTCTGGAGTATACAGAAACAAATAGAAGAGATTTCTAAAAAAAAACACGGAAAGATAAACCTGGTGGTTTAAATAGATTAGGTAAGGTATATACGATGATAATCGTTGGCACCAAATGTTGCATTGCACTTTGGACATTTACGATTTCGTGTTTCATACCGAACTTTTAGACAATTCAAACAGAACACATGGAAACACTTAGTTAGAATAGCATCTTTTCTGTTGATTTTACACGTTGGACATGTAAGTTGCTCCTAAAATTTACAAAAAGAGGTGGGTGACAATACAAGGATGAAGGTAAAGCTAAACTAAATCAAAGATGGAAAATATTATCATTACAAATGCTGTGAAATATTAACTAACATGAAGATCTTGACAAGTCACAAGGTACATAAGTCCGCCTAACATCTGGAATATGTACAATACTAAAACAAGTGGTGAATTTCGCATTTAAAAAAAAAACAAGATTTACAGCGCATGTTTTTAAATTTCAATACAAATTGCACTTAGATTATGAATAGAAATGAACAATCAAAAGATAAATCGTTAATATAAACAACGTACTTTATAATCTTGAATTTCAGCCAGTAAAAACTCATCAGCGTTGTGCGACTGTTCGATCTTGCGTAACCGTTCATATTTTCTGCGTACAGTGACAAGTTCTTCCTGTAATAAGTAATACATGCATTGTTTTCATTACTCAACTATGTGTATAATCAGATCAATGTCAGTGTCATGAATAGTGGTAATTTATACTGTACAATAATCTTCACTTAAAGTATCAAAAAGATAGAACTTAAAAGTTCATCTTGAATAAAAACAATGAAATGGAACCAATATCTGTTATTGAGGCGGGATTGTCGATTTCGTTTGATAAATAAACATTTTAGGGCTTACGTGAATAAAGCAGCTTAGTGAGCGACCATCACTAGATCACGTTGTGTCTGTGTATTTCATTTATTAAGCGACATTCAATTTATTTCAACAATTACAAGCCTAGTTCATTCATAAGTCTTAATTCATAAAAGACCGAAAACAAATTATAGACCTGAGCTTCTAATAAACTAAAGCAACAAGTAACAAGATTTTAAGTAGATTAGGGATTTTAGTCTAATAAGTAAAAAAATAAATAGCATAGCCTATAGCCTATCTCGGGTTAGGGTCGGTCTCACACCTGGATAAAAGAGAAGGATTGGGTATGGGGTTGCCAAGTCCATCCCGTAGAAAGACAAGCTTGTTAGAGAAACTCTAAGCAGAAAAACAACATTTAAACTCTGTCCTGGGAGTTGAAGGATCATCATTCAAAAGAATTATGACGCCTTACGGTGAAAGTCAAAGTCTTCTGGCAATTAAAGCAACAATTAATATTAATAAACAACAGTAGAATATGAGCAGAGAAAACTGAGGCATAAACAGAATACACAGAAAACAACGAGTTGATGCGCCTGTGCCACTGCAAATGACTTTAAGCCATATCATTCATAGTCACTAACTACTGGTTACATTAATCACGAGGACTCCGACCAGGTAGTTGCTGGTAGACGGATCTTACCTATGCCACAAGTGTTGCAATTTGATAAAAGTTAATCGGGTTTTCTGAATCCTCGCCGAGATTTTATCAGAATAATGAGCGCAGCGATCTACATGCTCAATATTATATTAAGATAAGTTGAGCGCCCAAACGCTACGGAAAACCTTACTCAAACGCATCCAACCAAAAAGGTGAGTATTAGGAAACAGTAAAATACATAATTTAGTCATTTGGCCATATTTGTTGATCAAAGTACTTAATTTATTGATTTTGTGAATTGTTTACTCGCATTAAATTACAGATTAATTCATGTTAACTATTTACAGTATAATATAAATATGTTCATCTATTGACCGGACATTTTTTATTGCAAATTATGATCAGTCGTGGATTAGTGTTTGGTATATAAACAAATCTCAATTAAGTCTTGAACTCTTCACTCCATTTATTAATATTGGTCTTTTTCCGTTGAACAAGTAGTCAGCCATTACAAATAACCATACCACCAACAGAATCAGAACTCAGTGGAGAAGATTTGTAGCTCAGGTGGATGATTTTGATGGAGTTTTGTTCTCTGAGCTGGATGGTTTGGTCGTGGAGCTTTCATCGTTCTTCTGAACGACATCATCAGCACTAAAATAGCAACAACCCAAGAGCACATAAAATCAACTGCGTACACTTTGTTCAAGAGGGCGAGGACACACTGCACCACTCTGGCAGCACGAAGAAAGGAAGAGAAATACCTAAAGGAAGTATTTCAAAAGAATGGCTACCCAATCAACTTCTTCAGAAAATACCAACCACATGCAGCATCAGAACACAAATCAAGCACAAAAATCAACAAACGGATCACCCTACCATACATAAATGGCATATCAGAAACCGCAACAAGACTGCTAAAAACCTTCGGGATAGGTGTGGCACACAAACCGACAAAATCAATACAGTCAATCCTATGCAAACCAAAGGATGAAATAACAAAAGAAGATAAATCAAACATCATCTACAAAATAAATTGTGTCAACTGCGACAAACACTACATCGGACAAAGCGGACGCCCCCTTCACCTGCGCCTACATGAACATCAATTAGCAGTCAAACGGCATGATATCTCCTCACTTATATCAAAACACGTGGACAACTGAGGACACACATTCGATTAGAAAAATGTGGAAATCGTGGACAGAAGAAATTCTAAAAACACAAAAGAATTTTTAGAAGCCTGGCACTCAGGTCAATCAGCAATCAACAAACATATTGAAATCGATCCGATTTATCAACCAATCAGGAAACTTATGCACAAATATAGGAACAAGAATCAAACCAATAGGAGACAAAACCAAGACAAAAAAGTAAACAATGACAAATTCAAGGTCAATAAGAACCAATCAACATCGAGGTGCACAGAACAAGCTGTGAAACGCATATGGAGAAATTCGAACACTTCACTTCTATCTGAAGTTTGTGCTGATGATGTCGTTCAGAAGAACGATGAAAGCTCCACGACCAAACCATCCACCTCAGAGAACAAAACTCCATCAGAATCAGAACTCTAACAAGTCATTACATATATATGGTAGACAAACAGATTTTGTTCTGTAGTTTAGTACGAAACAACAAGAATCTAATCATTTATGCAACAACAAAAATCTGAGATAATAAAATTGTGCACGTGATTGGATTCTGGACTATGGAAAAGTACAAAAATGGTTATCATACTAATTATGCCAGTCATAAAGATTAAAATGACATTCAATAGAAAAAAAAACTAACTTGTAAACGCTGATGACCGAAAGAAACGCGTTCAAAAGCGGACGCTTTCTCTTGAACAGTAGTTTGAGCATCTTTTAGTTGACTTTGATACTTTTGAACAGTGACTTTTAAGTCTTCAGAAACTTGTTGACTTTCCAGAGCTTTTCGTTTATAGGCTTCCTGTGACTTTTGTCTAGCTGATGCTTCTTTCTCTAAGGTTGCTAAATTGGTTAACAATAAACGTTCCTGTAAAGAAAGCAAATACAAGGCAGAGAACTATAATAAATCATGGATGTGTCTCTGACTTGATAGTAGTTGGTCCAAAACTATATCGCTTAAAAAACCCCATCACATCAAAACGCTAATATAAGAACGAAAAATATACTTTTTAACAAAACTGGCCAGGTTTAAGGCCACTTTTGGATGATTAGTCTGGATACATGATTGTAGAATCTGAAGAGAATTTATTGAAAAAAATTTTCAGCGTTTATACATTAATGTTTTAAAACCTAGGTCTTGGGAAACCGGTTTCCTACGTTTCAAGGAAATTATCAAATGTTTTTCTGTACCGTTAAAAACAATCGCCAGTGAAGACCGTGAATCAATGAAGTCATATTTTAGTAAGCCTAAAGCTCTTTCAAAATTATTACTACTTCAACAACATAAATCAAGTTATGGGGTTGACGTTTCGTAAAAACACCGGTTTGTTTCTACACATAAATTAAGCCTGAGTTTAACGATGGAAATTGACTAAGAACAAACACTATTTGCAGTTCTGTAACGAATTATGATCGATAATAGAGGTGATATATCAGGTTGATGTGGTATGATAGCCATATGTGTTCAACACTACGTACGATACTAGGCAACTCTAAATGCCTGTAACAGGATTCGAATACGGTAGTGGATATGAAACACGTTATTTACGAAGAAAACGTTAAAACATATCACAGGCAGAACAGATCTGTATAAAGTTGTAAAGTCATAAGTTCTTAAATTGAATTAATTAGGATGCCTCTGTGATCCATCGACAGAGGTGCACAAAACAATAAGACAAAATCTCGTAATAAAAAGCACTACTATACAAGATCATTGGTAAAGATTGAGTTGTCTATATGACACTTGCAATGACAGAATCTCATTACAATTATTCAAAATTTACTTCATTAAGAAAAAGTATATATACAAATTTTCAGCTTACTTTTTCTTCTTGCTTTAGAACTGCACGATTTAACGCTTCAATTTTTGCTTGCATCAGACGTATCTGTTCTTCTAAAAGCTGTTTGTCTTCCTTCAGTAAACGAGCAAGTTGGGCAGTTTTCATTCTTTCTGCCATTAACTTTAGATGAGCATCATCTTTTTCTCGTAATGTTTTAACAAGACGAACGTTTTGTTCTTGTGCATCTTCAAATGCTTGAACAGTAATCTTTAAATAGTAGGAAAAAATAATATTGGTGTAGTTAAGCAAGTTTTTGTTAAAAAGTCAACTCGAAAGCGTGGACAGAACACACGGAAACCACTTATCTCAAAAAGATGAGTAATAACTTGCAAAGGGAACTAGTAATGTTCATAATAAACTGTAAATATATTCAAGGTCTTTAATACGCCAAGTTTTTCCTATAAACATTGGTAAGCATTATTATATTGGAATATTTCGGTTAACGGAGTGCTTCCAAATAGAGCAGGTGTGAAAAATGCAAACAAAAGTAAAACTCACTTCCATTTCCTTCAATAGTACATCCTCTTGTTGCTTGGCGGCTACAAGTCGTTGTTGGTGAAGTTTTAACTGCTCCTCAACAGATTGACTTTTACGTCGAACTATATACAGTTCCATTTGCAACTCTGATATTTGCCAATCAGAAGCAGAAATTTTAGATTTTCCACAAGACGTGATCGGCAGAGATCCAGATATATTCGAGCTTTTTTCTTCAGGAGAAACTAACCCAGTCTTACATGTTTTCGAAGGAGATAGTGGAATATTTCCATGGGAAGTGAGTGAACGTTCAGCAGGTGACATTTTTAAATTGGGCTCAATAGGAGATGTTAATGTTGACTTCCGCTGTTGCTGCATTTTCATTTGTTGTGACTGAAGATCTTTGATAGTTGCATGAAGTTTATCGATTTCATTTCTGGCATCAGTCAGTTCACCCCGCAGCTTGGCTTCACACTGAAGAAGTGCTGCTTTATCTCTTTGATCTTTTGGGATAACTTTATACATGTTGAGTAGTACAGACATTTCTTTTTGTGATTCTTGTGAACGCCTAGAATAAGAACATTATCGTAAATTCGTACTCAATAGAAGAATTAAGAAAAACTACAGGATACCTACTTCAGTTGTTCTTTTAAATCACGAATGATCTCATTGGACGGCGAAGAACACGAGACATTACAACGAAAGTCCGGAGTAGATTCCTAAAATGTAAACAGATTATATACATGTTATTTCAAAACTTTTCATTCAGTAATAAATTGCAATAAAAGTTGTACTTCCAAATATTGTAAGCCCTATCGGTTGTTTTGATAAACTCTGATAATCCTAATGAGAAAACAAAAATGTTGATATGAGAGCAGATAAAACAGTTACTACTGTAGTTGTCTACTGATTAAGTTGTATCCATCGCGATACATTTTATAATGAAGAGTGTTCTAATGAAATCATAATTAACGCTGAAAATTAAATCTAACTGAAAAGGTCAAAATAACGTTATAAAGTACGAAAATCTACAAATCAGGTAAGCAGCAGTTAGTTAATGCCATATTCAACAATCATACAGAGATTTTCAACAGTATTTCCATGATAGTTCAAAAAACGCAACACTACCAAAAATATCTACCTGAGCTGAAAATTTTCTCCATTAATATAAGTATTCAAATCATTTAAGGAATTAGATAAATAGGTAGAAAAAGGTATAGCTGAAGCATCTCATTTCGTGAAAAACTCATACTACGTGCTGATATGGTATATTTGGGGTAGGCTCTAAGTTGATCACACCATAAAACACAAATTGGATCACAATAACACGGGAAATCTAACATTTAGTAACGCTGAAATAGACACGGGAACATAGAAAATGTCGATCATGGAAAGTCATTAAAATAACATGACAGTAAAATGAATACAATGATTTGTACGTATGAAATATTTGGTCTTATTTACTCCTCCTAATATTTATACTTGCGCTGAGCCGGAAAAATTGATCATTACTTGCAGATGAAACTTGAGCCAGTTCGCAAAACGTCAGAAATTCAATTTTCGTATTTGGCGAGATATAACAAACATACTATAGTGATTTAAATCTTTCAGACATCAATTTAAACTTACAGTTTTCAAAACTTTTTCGGGAGCACTTCCGTTGACATGAGAGCTTGCTGAAGTGGTAACTGTGCCAGATCGAGCAGTAGATGAACTTGGAGAGCTATACTTAACATTTTCCTCCACTTTTATAGGAGTTGAATTTTTTGCTTTCAATTCTGGATCAGCAGTTGGTGATCCAACCTCAATAAGAAAAAAGTCATTAATAAACTTAATGTTACATGATACATCAGCATGGAAATTTGAGAAAGGTGGAGCATGCAATTAAAATAGTAACAGAGATATTTTGTTTTCTATGACGCAACGTCTGATCAAATTGAAGTAAAATGTGAATTTACAAAAAAAAGTTTACATAAACTATTAAACGCTTTTCATTAACAAACATTGTTGCTTTGTTTATATTAAAAGAAAAATTCATATTGAAATGAATACTTACATCTGGCATTGTTACTGAAGTCTGAGGTAGATTTGAGCTTTGGGGGGTTGATGGTGTCGACTGATCTGACTTTTCACATGCAGCAATAACAGCTGCAGTTGCCTCTGAAAGCGCCGTACGGACACGAACTAACTCATCCTCTGTACATTTCAAATCCGCACGTATCTAAATGTATAGAAGTAAATTTTGAAATTGAACATAAAATACCTAGGTGTACTAATTTTACTATAACCTTTTATTTAGTGATTATACTTAAGGATGATAATTCAATCAAATACTGAAATCAGTATCTATTGAGAATATATTAATAAATAAAAACGTAAATATCACTGAGTTAATATATTTTTTCTGTAGCATAATTAAAATGATGGGTAAACCACCCAAAAATACGTTCAAAATAAGCATTCAAAAACTGACCATTTCACGTTCTTGTACAGTTTCTTCACATTTTCTACGATAACGCGTCACTTCAGCTTTTAGTTGTTTGTTTTGTGTTTGGAGTGTGGAAATTAGACTACGCATTTCGCAACTGATAGGACCAGCTTGTTCATTATGCGTCAATGCTTGTTTGAAATCCAATTCCATAGTTTCATATTTGTGTCTTAGTTGAGAGTATTGCCCTTCAATGAGAAGCATTTCAGATCGCATCTGATTCTGTATAGCTGCTTCATTTGCCTAAAACAAAAGAACCAAATAGTAAACAGAAAATTCTTAAAAACATAATGTTATAGAATTTTAACTACAAAATAATGTGTTTCAGCTACGATATGACGTTGGATAACTTGAGTTCTAAAAATAACAGAAGTGGAAGTCATAAAAATATTCTACTGAGATGACTAAAAATCAGTTAAGATATAATGAATAAAATGAATGTTCAGTAAACAAACAAGCAGTTGTAAACCCATTTGCAATTACTACTTGAATATTTACAAAAATATGAGGTACATTTTGTTTGAAAATGGGAAACCACGCGACAATAACTGATTATCACTAACATTACTTTGAGAAACGATTTGGAATATTTATAGGTCTGTAATTGTAATGAATTTTCAAGTAACAGGTTAGTGCTATCTTTTTTGACTGACAAATCATCCAAAATTAGTTACTGCCACAGAGAGATTGTAGTATATAACAACAACAATATTCACAAATAACTAATAATTCAACCGGGTGGTTTATCAGACAATTAAGCTGCGAATACTTTTCAAGTCATCTTTTGCGATTTTAATCTGTTCTGAAAGAATTCATTTCATATTTACGAAAATGCAGAATTATAATTTTATTCCACATGAAGGATCAAAAACCCACAGGTAAGAACTTTAAACAATTTTATGTACGCCACTCTCTAAAAGAAACTTCTTTACCCGACAACACAGTGCAAAGCCAAAAAACCTATGACATTCAGATCATATGTATTTTCAGAAATGCTGTTATATTACGTTGGCTGAACATAGAATAATGTGAATATTAAGTAAAAAGTAGTAATAAGTTCTCTTGTGGCTTAATGGTGTGAATGACTGTGTGCATTCCCAGTTGAAAAGAAAGCCGACACCTCTAGAGTAAAGATTAGCTGTGACAAGTGCCCTGTTACATACATGATGAACAATGGAATTTTATGGGGAAAATAACGTTAAAGAATGGTCTAATATCATATGTCTAGTTTGTTAGACAAATCCTAATGATCCACATAATGGAATATATGCAATGTAATCAAGAATCCCCTGTGAAACTTATGTGTACATATGAACAGAGTTCAGAACAATTTATGAAAAATTTCACTATGATTAACACTGTCAGGTTCACAATTTTCAATAATAAATTCTTATTCAATTCTAAGTCCTAAGATGTGCAAACAATAGTTGAATCAGTTGTAAAATATCTCGAAACTACTATGATTATAGGGCACGTATGTAGTTTTAAGCGGTCAAGATCATAATGCTTACGTAAGCTGCTAAAGGTATGGCATGTATGCTAAACTAAAAGAAAATTCTAAGAACAGAAAACGCTTTCCTAAAAGTTGAAGGATAGGATATCAATGTATAAACTTATCAAAGAAATGCATATGCTATACTAACTCGATCTGGGTAAGTTTAATAATAATATACTTATATCATGAGCAGTTTTATTCGGTTTGAAAACTAGTGACTTTCTCCAAATGGCCGAGAGCGAGGTGGGTATGCCCTCCCTCTCGAAATGCTCTCACACGACAACGTGTATACAGCCTCTGTCAGGTAAGTTCTACTCACTGCTTTCTCGTGGCCGGGGGGTGTTGCTTATGAAAAGGAGAGGAAAAGCAAATGTCCGGAGCTAGAAAGTGTACCGACGTCATAGAATGAGTAGATAGTTGTCCCTATCTTTAAAAAGGGTTCACGTCGTTCCAGTAACAACTATTGGGGGATAAGTCTAATTCCGATTGCGTCCAAGCTGTTGGCTTTCATCATACTTCGTAGGTTGTTCAAAACCCGGGAAAGATTGACTCGTGAGGAGCAGGCTGGTTTTCGTTCCGGTCGAGGATGTATTGATCATATCTTCACTCTCCGCCAAATGTTAGAACACCGTCATACTTATCAAAGGTCAACAATCGTAGTGTTTCTTGACATCAGGGCTGCCTTCGATTCGTTGGACAGGACTGTTCTCTGGGATTGTCTATTGGAGAAGGGTGTACCTGAGAAGTTTATTAACATCTTAAAGACCCTATATACAAACACCTCGGGTAGAGTGAGGACATAAAACCACCCTTCTCCATTGTTCCATTCAAGCAGTGGGGTTAGACAGGGTTACCTAATCTCACCATTCCTCTTCAACTTTGCCATCGATGACATTCTGGAAACAGCTCTGATGGATGTAAGTAATGGTGGTGTGGATCTGTTGCTTGGAGAAAGACTTCTCGACCTCGAGTATGCGGATGATATTGTCTTACTGTGCGATAATGCCCAAGCCATGCAATCCGCACTTAATCAGTTGGCAATCAGTGTCCGTAGGTATGGTATGTGCTTTGCACCTTCGAAGTGCAAAGTACTTCTACATGACTGGCAGAATTCTAATCCTGTACTCACCCTGGATGATGAGCATATAGAAGTCGTCGAGAAGTTCGTGTATCTAGGTAGCTGCATATGTGCTGGTGGTGGCGTGAATGATAAGATCGATGCACGTATAGTGAAAGCCAGAGCGGCTTATGCCAATCTGGGCCATCTTTGGCGCCTTCGTGATGTTAGTCTGGCTGTAAAGGATCGGATCTACAACACGTCGGTGAGAGCAGTTTTGCTCTATGCTTGTGAAACCTGGCCTCTCCGAGCTGAGGATGTTAGAAGACTCTCTGTGTTCGACCATTGCTGTCTCCGAAGGATTGCTGACATCCAGTGGCAACACCATGTTAGTAATGCAAAGGTTCGACATCGTGTGTTCGGGCGCAGAAACGAGAATCCAATTGGTGTCACCATCTTGAAACACCGACTTCGGTGGCTTGGACATGTTCTACGAATGTCGTCCCAGAGAATCCCACATCGTGCATTATTTGCCGACACTGGGACTGGTTGGAAAGAGCGGAAAGGCGATCAGTGTATGACATGGTGTCGTGGTGTGAAAGAAAGATGCACAAGGTTGGCTTCTGTTGGTCCTTCACAACTCTCTGGTTGGGGTTCGAGAGATGGTGCAACACAATGGCTAGATACGTTATGAGATATGGCTCAGAATAGAAGCCAGTGGCGATCCTGCTGTAACCTTTTACTTTCTTCAAAAAAGTGGTTGTACCTTCCTTAACTGAAAGAATTCTTCTGATTGTACCTTTCCGTTTCCCTCATTATTATTATTATTACACTACCATACACTAATCTGTGGTCGTTATCCTCTTTTTTTTCTTATACGCACTTTATATTCTTTTTCTCTTCCCATTCTCATTACTTTGTGTGGTGCATATATATATGGTGCTCTTTTGTAACAATATTAATGTGTTCAAATAAATAAATAAAGGATAGAGCACGTAGAAACTAATCAACAAGGAGCGAACTGCTTCCGCATTAAGAAAAGATCCCAATTTTGGATGTTTGGGATGTTTTTATGAAAGCATCCAAACTTCCGGGTTGCTATTAATGTTCATTTTACAGATAATTCTGTTGAAAACACTTATGCTTTGTAATGTGTTTAGACGACAGACACGGAATATAAAAATAATTAACAGAAGGATACATAAAACATATTCATAAGTAATGAATTAACTCATTTACCAGATACTTGGGTATGAGCTATACCTTAAGTAAAGCGCTTAGGTACTACTCGATCGCTTAAACCGAAGCAGATGCAGTGGAGTCCGATTCTGAGACTAAATGATAGTAAATGGAAAGACCTGATCACTAAGCAACCGCTTCCCAAAAAGTATATATATAACAAACAACTAAGAAAAAGAAAATTAATTTTAGGACGCACCTCCATCTCTTCTATCTGTTTCAGATGACTGTGTCTGTTATTTTGTATAGTACTTCTAGCTTCCTCTAACTGACTTCTTAGTTGGAGAGCTTCATTATATAGAATATTGAATTGGGTTTTTAAGGATAAATATTGAGGAGATTCTGTAATAATATGCTCGGGAATATCTCGTAACTAATAAAGCAAAAGATATATCAATAAAAAATACTAAGGAATTAAAAATTTGGAACGTGAATTATATGATGGATTGTGATGTACATACTAACTCAAATGATTAGATAACAACTAGAAATCAAACATGTTTGTCACAGTTAAAAAAAATGAATAAAAGAGAATCATTAAAACGAATTGACTATCTATGATTACAATGAAATATTGGTTTGATGGTCGCAGATTTCTGGCCACCCACAAGTCATCCTGAAATGAGCACAAAGGGAAGTTTGATTCAAATAACCTCTATCATACTGATGTTAATGACAATCTAACAGAAACTCGAAAGAGCAAAACAGGCTCTTAAGATACTGTACTTGAATGCAAGAAAATAATTGCACTTCTGAGTACAAAAAGCACTGGAGATTTCCGATGACATAAATATATGGAGTACATTGAAAAAAATTGTATGGGTTTATCGAAATTCTGTAAAAGATTTCAAACGACAGTAAAATCAGGAAATTTTTTTAAAAAATTCAAAACTAACTTGCATATTCAATGAAGCACATTCTGCAACTTTGTCTTCTAAGTGACGTTGAAGGCGCTCTAATTCATTTATACGATTATTTGCCAACTCACGGTACTCTTCCAGTTCACAAGCCAAGTCATTATATTTATTCCGTGTAATTGATCCATCAACATTAGAAGGATCTTCACGACCTACAAGAAAAAAATATTATTGAACTATAAAATAATATAATAACGAATTACAAGGTCACGAATCTAATGGAATTTTCAGTGTCAAGACCTTTGTAACTAATTACTTGTTCATAAAAAAAGTAAACTGTATTCATTAGTATATATCGATTCAAGCATAGAGAGAGGAATCAACAATATGAGAAGCAAAAAATACGAAGTAACATCAGTGAGGAACTAAGCATACTAAATAAATTTAAAAAGACATGAAAAGTTCGGAAAAAATAGAAAGCTTGAAATGAAGATAAAGATAGAGAATGAAAACATCTGTACCTTTCCCATCATAAATCCTAACGCCTATAATTTGTGAACTTGAACCATAGAGCTCACATATTAGATTAGGAACCAAACTATTGTAACATGATCCAGTTATAGTTTGACAATATATAACGTTTTTAACTTAACTAATCCCATGCCAGCCAAGAAGTCTAGTTGTTTCCACTAAAGCCATTTTCCTACTGATTATTTCTGACCGACTTCTATAATGATTTTGGATAAATTACCACGCCTGATAGTAAATTAATTACGTTCCATGTTGCGAAAAATGTGATAGATTATAAGAAACTGTATATGATTACGATTGAGAAAACGTCGAACATCTAATCAAAGTAAAGGAATGCCTTAGCTTGACTATTTATTCTAGTACAAGTATCAACTGATGTTAATGTTATTAAATCCCATTTTTGGTACTATTATTGGAAACACTGAAAACAGAACTTTGACAAATTTCTACACAAGAATAATAGTCAGTAGACTTGAACGCAAAAATTTTACACCTGAGTACACGCGTAATACTTAGTAATTTGAATAACAATCATGGATAAACAGAGGGGAGCTATAATTAGTAATAAAAAATGTGAAAACCAAATCAAATATATACCTGGAGAGTCTGAGCATTTGAGAGCTGATAATTCAACCTCCATTTTTTTATTCTTTTCCTGAGCTTCATATAGACGATGATCTAAACGCGTAACTTGCTTCATTGCTTCCGCAAGTTTATAATCTAAATCCTCATACTTAGCTTGCCATTCCGCTGACGCGTCACTATTCGTTTGAGCTAAGTCTTGTAGTTCACGAAGCTAAAAATCGACCGTTACAAATTGACGGTTAAAAATATGTATAATAAATTAATATATATACTCAAGATTCTTAATGACTTCTAACACTAACATTGATTTGATATCCAAGAAATGAGATGAAAAACGCTTTAATACACTTATTGAGTAATTTCTGGGTAAATGTTCAATCATAACATTGCAATGATATGGAATAGGAAATTCTGAAATGTTAGTTTTGGAATGAGGTCAAATTGATGAATACATTGTACTCCATTGACAAGATGTCAAATCTTTTCAAGTTATAACTAAAAATACTATTCATAGTGTACATTTTGGTCTATAAATCATCACAATTTGTTGAGGAAATTTACGATTCCAAATTCCACATTTACAACTTCTGACCTCTTGATATTTTTAAAAACAAACATGACGCATTATTAAGATATTGGTTTAGAATTTAATGGCCATTCGTTTGTCTCTTAATTATTAAAAATGAATAACACATCAAGTTGTGTATTGATATAAAGGAAAAAAATAAAGAATTTACTGAGTTATCAGCTACAACGGCATGTAAGAATGTCCTGGAAAACTTGTTTCCTTTAATCACCTACACTTTATATGACATTGAATAATCTTTTTGTGTCACCATTTCGTATACAAGAGTGTCACTTTAAGAAAAATTTATTTACTTATTTGAACACATAAGTATTGGTACAAAGGGGCACCAAATATAATGTGTCACACAATAATAATAAGAATGTGAAGAGATAGAGAATGTAAAGTGCGAATAAGAAGAACAGGACAACAACGAACAGAAATTAATGTATTATAGTGAAATTATTATTATTATTATCATTATTATTATTATGCGAGAAGCAATTCAGTTAGCAAAAATGCAACCAGAAAGAATTCTTTCAGTTAAAGAAGTTACGTTCATTTTTTGTGAAAAAAAGGTAAAAGAAAGTTACAGCAGGATCGCCACTGGCTTTTATTATGAGTCATCTCTGATAACGTCTCAAGCCGCTGATACTAGTTCATTAAAAGCCTTAAGTCAGTGATTATTCGTTGAGAACACTTATCAATAGTTCAATCCTTATCATCGAGTGTCATTTATGGATCATCGTTCTATTCATCATTTTTTGACAACTGAAAACATGTCTATCATCAAAATATAAAAGTACCATTCATAACATGCACCTAACTGAAATTATTTTTAGAGGAAGTAAACGTCAAGAAACGAATTATGAAAAGTTGGTTAAAACCACATACAACAATACAAACTTGTACATACGCGAAGACTACTTTGTCGATGTTTAGAATGCAAATTTGTACAAAGGCTTTGGAGACGAAGATTTTCCTTGTTTAAAAGTGCTATTTCCTCGTGCAAATCTACGGCACCAGATCTGCTGCACGTTGTTGAAGCAGGTTCCTGAGATGAACTAGTTGAATGATTGTTACCTTCAGAATTAGGGTTTTGTGTGCCACAAGGAGCCGATGAACTAGAATGAATAGGTAAAATGTTATCACTAATTTCAGATCCAACAGAAACTGATGCGGTTTCAGTAGTGTTTCCAAGCAATTGACGCAAACGAAACTGGTGAGTAACCATTCTGAAAAACAAATCATAAAGACTAAGAAAGTATGGAGAATTTGTTAGTGAAATTAAATTGAAAGGATTGATTCAATGAAATATATACAGTACGGTATAATCATTTCCACTTTTGCTAACAGAACATAGGATGATCTACATAAGGAATACATGATCAAATAACGTTAAAAAAAAACTAAATATGATTAAAACATGTCACTCAAGTATGAGATGTTCCCGACAAATATAACAGACGATTAGCAAGTGGCAAAAAAAATATGAAGCACAAGCTATTCTTGTACTAAGAAATAAGATACGATACATGAAAATTAAGACAAAAAATTATCAAAAGAACTTGCTTTTCATAGGCAGATAAGAGGCGTGCAATAATACGCTTGGAAAAATGCACTCGTTCTTGAAGCTTTTCTGGAACTTCTTCCTTGTCCCATGAAGCCAATTGTTTGAGAAATGATTCTGTAGATGTTGAAACTACGAAAAACGTGGAGCGAGAATGAAAGATAAACAAAGAGAAAATAGGGATGTTAAGATGTTGCTGTATCTCAAATATTTGGTGGTTATATTTGCATATCACAATAACACTGAACAGCAGTTGTTCTGTCAACGTAGCGCTCAAGATTATTGAGTCACTAGTCAGGTTGCACAGATCGAGAGGCTTGCACCCAAACTTCATATAAGGAGTTGCATTCAGAAGTTTAGTCTAAATAACACAAGTCAAAGCACCCGTTATGTTTTTTTCCTAGGGCAAATGCAACTGAAGAGATACCACTCAGATGAAAGGAGTCTAACGCGATTAGATAGATCAAATGATTAATTGTACCTCCTATAACAATGAAAAGATAGGCCTCATTTAAGCAGAGATAACTTAGGTTGGGAAGAAAGGAAAGATATCGTTACACATGAAATATCTAAATGACTACGGTAGCAGGGAAACTAAGAGCTTTGTACAAAAAGAAAATCGAGTGAGGAAAAAAAACAGTAGAAAAGAACGTCAACTACACGATGTTGAAAGGTGTTAATTAAGTGTCTGAAAGTAACAACTTGAATATTAATAACAGTAGTTGTTCGAAGGTAAACTTTCATAACAGATACAGACGTTCCGCGTGGCGTTGGACTATACTGAGTAGAAGCTACAGATGGTCAGAACATTGGAACGGCTATCAGAAGGCGCAACAAAGCCTCCAGAGGCTCTAAAGAAGTCGACTCCGTCCAATCAAAATTTCCCAGGATATCAACACAGCATGCTACGATTGAAGAATTATATAAACTCCCTACATGGGGAGTGGCTGGATTGTAATGATGTTATAGCCTAGACCAAAAACTATAAATACACCTGTTTCTGTGCATTTCGTACAATTATACAGTGAACGCTTCTCCGGCCTTTTTCGCTTTCTCAACTTGAGACAGAATTCTACGTGCTCGAGTGGCAAAGCCGTATACCATATCTACCGTAATCAACCAGAGGACGAAAAAAATTAGTGGCAGGAATGGGATAATGATGGGTTTCAAGAGCTTTATTTAGCCCTGCTGAGCAATCGACACATAAGCGAATGCCCTATTTACCAAATTTAGTGACCATTATGGATTTATATTTTGCATACTAAAAATAATAAGCAATTCTTTTACACGAAAAATATTTGTGCCCAGTGCTTACTAGGAAAATTAAAACAATTTACATAACCCAGTTAATCATCCCATCTAGAACACAAATAAACACACCCATAACCAATTAAAAATTGATTCAAAAATCGGTTAAGTTACATTGAAAGATAAAAATAAGCTTTTAAAACAAAAGCATACTTTCTTCCTCAGCATCTGAATCAAAACGCTGAAGTATAATCAAGCTATCTTCATCGAGCTAAAATTTCAAAAGAAATTAATTAGAAACAAAAGTGATAAGTCAGTAATTAGATTCTATCTGAATGACAAAAGCTTATGACCATCAAAAACTTGGTGTTACAAACATAACAAAGTTGTGCCAAACCGTTCATTTTTAAACTTTGTTATCCCTCAGATAGTTTAGAAGGTAAATATGAATGGATTTCTGTTTGAATCCTATCCCACAATACCAGCGCTTTTCTTCGCTATTAGGATTGGTTGAAGTTAGACACTAACACCGTTGGATGCTGATGCTGGCACAGTGATCTAGAGGTTAAGAGTCCGCGCGCGAGACCAAAGCTCCTGAGTTCAGATCCTACGTGCGGGATCGTGGATTATTATTATTATTTGAACACATAGATATTGGTACAATGAGGCACCAAATAAATATGCGCCACATAAATCTCATTTGGTGCGAGGGATGTGATACTGCCCGGGTGCCCAAACCGAAACAGGAGGGATCGTGGATGCGTACTGCTGAGGAGTCCCACACTAGGACAAAACAGCCGTCTAGTGATTCTAGGTTTTTCATAGTCTACCTTTAATTGACTAATGAGTTTAACTATTAAAGTAATGATAATTGTTTAAAACAAAGAAATAACGATTATTTTCTCGTATTAGTTTTAGTAAATATAACGCAATATTAATTTTGAATCGTATTAGACAAGTGTTAATCATTTGCTATGAATTAGATTTCTAAATCTTGGGAAATAGATTGTCATAACTACAGATCACCACATCAGCTGATAAAGAGAATTCTACACGATTGTAAGCAAGCTAAATGATATAGGAATGTGATGTAGGTTTACAGGAAACATATAATGTGAAAAAGTAGTGAGTAAATAAACTTCAAGTTCCTAAAGTTCACTAGTTGATACAACACTAAAAAATAAGTAGTTAAGAAACGATTGTATGCTTAAAAGATTTCATAGTACACTTACATGGTATGCCCTGCCAAGATTTTATTTTACATGCTCTGGAACAATTCTACGAATATACCCACGAAATAAAATAATGCTTTTGTCTAACAGTGATTGAAAATGTAATGTTATTTTTAAACAAGTGTTTTTGTATACAAACCTTACATCTACGGAAAGCATAGGCAATAAATGTGAATTGATGTTAGCAAAATAACAGTACATAGACTGGCAAACTTCATATTTACGCAGTTGTATCCGCTCGTTGTGAATTGATGTGGTTTGTTAGTGCTTCATTTTTAGTGGTTAATAATTAGAGTAAGTAAAACTAGTAGACAGCAGTCAGATTCTAAGTTCAATGATTCGAAATGCATGTCGACATTTTCGAATCCTATAAGATGTACTAAACCTTTGTTCATTTGTTTTAAATACAAATGATAGTTGTTTAATCGCTACGTTCGACATGAACAGGATTAAACATTAATGAAACACAACTTTTGGTAAACTTATTTTTAACGTCACTGTAATTTCATGAAATATGAAAATCAGATATCTGTTTACGTACGTGGCATGAACAGAAAATTACCAGATAATGAGTCATACTACCAGCTGCTTGGATTTCAGATTTTTTAGTAATTTGTTGACCCCCCCCCTACATTACGATCATGGCATCCATAAAATGGTAATGCAATTCCATGGAATACACTGAGTATCCCAACTTAACAGTTTGATTTCCTACACTTAAAAAAATCCAAAGAGATCGGTCCTACCGAAACCCGAAATCTCGATAACAAGAATGACATAACAACAAGTGGGGATCTTCGTTATAGAATAAAGAGTAAACAAACTCAAAATCGGACATACTACCTGTGTTGATGAACACAAGATCCATATGTTTAAAGTGATAAAGTTGGTAACGAGTAAATCGAAAACGAAAATGCGCAGTAGGAAATGGCTGTTAGATTTTAGTAAATCTGATTTGTCTTCAATTACTTTTGGAAACGTTTCGTTTTTGAATAGTAAATAATTATTAATGGATCACAATATGAATTTTTTTGTGTTGTAATGTACACTGTATGCCTTAAGGAAAATACACGTCTAATATACAAGACACTGTGTACTGAAGAGTAATATTAAGCCTATATATCCAGTGAAAAATCACTAGACTTAACATAGCAGTAATAATCTATGCGAAATATTTCTGTTAAAATCACCTGATTCCAGTAACGATTGACTACACAAAGTAGAGCATCATCCTTAGTTTGGCGATTTTCCAGGTGTTCAATACGTTCCTTCAATTCAGCAATGGCAGCTCGACGTTCCATCAGAGCTTCCCATAGTTTTTTATTTTGAAGCTGTAATGCTCTCTTATCAAGTTCCTCCAAGGATGAGATTCGAATGAATGATATAGGCTCAGATGCAGCTGAAATTAAACGTTTACTGATAGGGGGAGTCGAATCTAATTGTGAAGTAGATCCATGTAGTAAATCATGGTCCGGATTTGTATCTTCAGAAAATGACCTCTTCATCTTCTGTAAAAATTTTAAAGAAAAAACACATTTATGACGTCATAATATGAACATCCACCTCAAACTTGCAGAATATTGTAACATATTCAGTATACAAAGATCTAGTTTGTGTGAGAAAAAGGATCGAATACCACTTGCGAACACTAATATCTTCTTCATGAACAGCTACTTTACAAACCAAGTTATTCTAAATTTATAAATGAAAGATATCTTCATTTCATTTAGTCAAAATTTTCAGATAAAGCTACCCTATAACTTGAAATCAGTATTTCGGATTACAATTTTAATAAGACTTCCTGGGAAATACACAACAGCCAGCTACTGACACAAGGGGTAGTAAATATCAATTCATCTAGTCTATTCATTCGTTTAATTGACAAGTCATTCCTATTCAAATACTAACGAACACAACTAGGCGACCGATTTGCTTGCTACAAACTATCTCGCTTACATAATTAACTGAATATGTAAAAATACTGCTAGAAGTATACCTAAACCTCGATTTTAGTAACTAAGAACAGAGTCAACTTGTAAACTTTGATTACTAAACGTACATGCAACTACGTCACACACAACAGTAACAAAGAAAAATAATCAGAAAAATATCTATGAAAAAGTATGTATTTTTATTCGAATCACCGTTGAAAGGCAGTTACGGCAGAGTTACAAGAAATCTTTGTAGGAAGAGTGAAATATCATATGAAAGCAAATTGGGATTTTAAAAATTGAAAGATTGAGAGAATACCATTTTTTGATTTACATAATAACTCATTTTAGGCAACAAGAAAGTTCATTTTTTACACTTGAATGGCTGAACAATAACAATATCATATCAACATAAATAAAAATATCAAAACAGTGCCAACGAAGTGATGAGTAATGTAAGACTCGAAGAAGCATTTTAGCTTGAGAAAAAATGATATAAATAGTAAAGCATTAATCAATTCTCATAATGTACCAGGAAGCCCTGTGAAGTTAAAGGTAGCAAGTCAAATATCTCTTCGATTACAGAAACAATGACAAAGAATACGGTGGTGGGCTAACGATACAGTCAAGCCACACAGCATTAACCCGGTAAGGAATCGACGTTTAATAGGATAACAAAAATTACAAAAGGAGGCACATATGGTGCTTCAAAAATATCGCATTTTCCATACAGATGTTTAAAACACTTTTATGAACCAAGATAATTACTATGGCAAGAAAACTTATAGAAGAGAAAATAACTATCGAGGTAGGAATGCATAATGAGTCGATAGAGAAAAAGATAATCACCAACATATGAATAAATACATGATTGTAAAAATCAAATAACTGATCATTTGTTGGTTTGACTAATGGATAAATTAAATAATTGCAAAAATGAAAACGCAGAGGAAAACGCATAAAATACTCATATAAATGTACACTAACATGCAAAACATTGCTCAAGATACGGATGGTAATTAGCCAACGATTTGATAGTTTCTAAGTGAAATAAGACATATAGAAATATCTAAACAAAGAGTTTAGTACATCTGATAGTTAGATCACTCAGTTCGCCGAGTGTCATAAATAAGTAAGTAAAAATATGAATGTACTATGGTTGGTTAGATGAAGACATCCACTGGGTCAAAATAACAATGAATTTATTAGATAGTATACGTAAATTGTGCATCCATGTAAAGCATTGCGTCTGGGAATAATATTTACGTGTTTGTGACTAAAGATTTTATCAGGATTTGATTCAAAATGATGCTTCAAGAAAAGATCAGATATTGAAATGGGAAAAAAAATACATTGTTAACAAAACTGTCATAATACAATTGACATTATATATATATATATATATATATATATATATATATATATATATATATATATATATATATATATATATAATATTCCTGGGTAGGAATCAAAAACAGAATCTTGTTAACAGTACGTGTAAGGTATTGTACATGAAGAAACTCACAGATGAGCTTTTTTGGGATGAAAATAGCACACAACAAAAATATATCAGTTGCATACAAAATACGCATATCAGAAAAGGGAAAATGACAAAATTCGCATCAAAATTCTAACATTCATGAAATAAAACTAGGTGTCCATAATACATACCGATCCACTTAGTTCATACAAATGAAATTATGAAGCCTGAGAAATACAGAAAAACTTGAACAGCTTCATTATTTTAATTTCAACGAACAGAAACTATTTCCTTTGAACATGCAAACTTTCTACTGCAGTTAATGGAGTTTGTGGTTGTGATTTTCCCAAATTCATAAGTCTGATATTTTGAGGATCAAACATCATATGCTCATTCATGAAAGGTCGATTGGAAGAGTTATGAGACGCAATTGAAGGTATGTGTACAGAAGAACCAACCAAACGAGATGAAGTAGCAAGCGCTGCTGCAGCAAGTGCTGATACCTGTGCGGCAGCAGAACTTGACGGGCTTACTAGACGTGTATCAAGTGGTTTTGGGAATATTCCATTAACATGTTCGCCGGAGCGCGATGAATATGGATCACAAATACCAGTTTCCATCACTCGACTATTTTCTAAGCGATGAGAACCGAGAGGTAAAGCATATGTAGGTCTTACAGAATTACTGGTGGATATATTGACAGTGTTTATGGCGGTTGAATGACTATCAAGTGGGTTGTTGCTGTAGGTTAAATTAGTACTAGCGACGTCCATATCCTCGAAATCTTCAGCAAAAACAAACGGCTGTGACTGAGTCGGGATAGAAGTTTGAATAGTATTTGGAAGATGTGTAACCAACGTAGACTGCAACTGCTCGGGGTGAGGGGTTCCAATATGTAGAGCATCAGTTCCTTGCATAAGTGTATTTGGATTTGCCATAATTGTATGTCCAACGAAGCCCGGTGAACTAAAATATGTAAAACACATCAGTGTACCCAGTTACCGTATCATCATAACAAATAAGACATGGATACTTAGAAAACCTTTAGTTGCAATACGGATACCTTATACACCCAAAATGTGATTAATATGCGAAAATCTGGAACTCTTACCTGCTAGATGAAATCCCAGACCTTCGACGCGAGCGTGAACTGGTTTGCCAAGTAGATACCCATGGGTCACGAGCCATGTCAATATGAATTTGGGGGTCGACATAAGTAAATCCTTCAAAAACATCAGAAACCATTGCAGATATTGGCAAGCCCTCATCCGGACTTTCGACGGGATTTTCTTGCGTGAATTTTGGATCAAAAAGAGAAACATCTGTGTCAGATGTCAAAGTGGGTCGGAAGGGTGGTTCAACCTGTTTTTTCAGAACACGATCCCAATCAGTATTACGAAAAAATGGATGCATTTTGATCGCCTCGGAATCGGATGGACCAGAACCAAGGCGTCTATTGACATCAACAACTAAAAGCTAAAGGAATTATAAAACAAATTAAATGTGTAAACGAGTGCTGACGCCCAAAATGGAGATATCAAACAAGAAATTATTTTTTCAGAGGGGATTAGACTGACCTTTCCTTCATATTGGTCAGCAACTATGAAAAATAGGGAACTTTTAGGAATTGCTAAACAAAGCAAAAAACAATTAATTTAACCGGTGGGATAACTATAATATTTACTGATTTGACCACCAGAAATTACACTTAAGATGTTCGTTGAATTTTTTGTTCAATACATACTGCAACAGAGCACTTTTAACTGAGTTATCACACTTCAAAACAACAAAAAGACAATCACCAAGAGGTTAATATTAATACAGACGACCATGGGCAGCAAGGAACAAATCGCGAATAATAAAACCTTTGAGATTTAGAAGTGCACAACTTTATACTACTTAAGCCAAGACTGAGTGACTACACCGATTGGTTGAGCGCTTTAGTCTAGTCGCTCGTTGCCGCTCTTCTACATAATCCGGCTATAGCTTGCCGGGGTAAATTGTAAAGTGACGTGTAATGCGTGAATCAACCAAACCAAAGAAGGTTTATAATCTTGTTGACTGTCATATTAACTTATGGATCACAGCTTTGCCCTTCTTTTGTTTAGTGTCCTAATCATCCCAATCCAGTGAAGACATTACTTTTTTGAAGAATATCGTTGCTATGTACTGTCAATGTTCCTAAAAACCACTCTTTTATTATAATACTTGTTTTCTGAATACTAATTCAGAAATCAGTAAGCATCTTCATAGTTATAGCATCCTTTGAAGGAATTATTAATTTATACAAGTGTAAAATATTGTACTACGGTTTACGATGCCCGACCATTACAAATTTGCTAACGACCGTATTCTAGGAAGCAACGAGACTAAAATGTCAAGTTTGACATTTTAGAGATGGTTACAAGTTATTCAAGAACATGGTTATGCGAAAGTCGAATTACATAACTTACCTTGGATATAAGTGACACGGCTTCTCGACTTAAATAAGGTACAGGTATAAAGTCACCTCGTAATATCTGAAACAAAGTAAAATTGCATTAATTCATTAATTATTTGAACACATATTGGTACAAGAGGACACCAAATATACATGCGCCACACAAAACAATTAAAATTTGAAGAGAAAAATAACAATAAAAGGGGGAGCGTAAGGAGCATAAAAAAGAACGATAACGAACAGCTAAGTGTAAAGTAGTGAAATAATAATAATAATGATAATAATAATAATAATAATAATAATAATAATAATAATGGGGGAAACGGAAAGGTACAATCAGAAGAATTCTTTCAGTTAAGGAAGGTACAACCACTTTTTTGAAGAAAGTAAAAGGTTACAGCAGGATCGCCACTGGCTTCTATTCTGAGCCATATCTCATAACGTATCTAGCCATTGTGTTGCACCATCTCTCGAACCCCAACCAGAGAGTTGTGAAGGACCAACAGAAGCCAACCTTGTGCATCTTTCTTTCACACCACGACACCATGTCATACACTGATCGCCTTTCCGCTCTTTCCAACCAGTCCCAGTGTCGGCAAATAATGCACGATGTGGGATTCTCTGGGACGACATTCGTAGAACATGTCCAAGCCACCGAAGTCGGTGTTTCAAGATGGTGACACCAATTGGATTCTCGTTTCTGCGCCCGAACACACGATGTCGAACCTTTGCATTACTAACATGGTGTTGCCACTGGATGTCAGCAATCCTTCGGAGACAGCAATGGTCGAACACAGAGAGTCTTCTAACATCCTCAGCTCGGAGAGGCCAGGTTTCACAAGCATAGAGCAAAACTGCTCTCACCGACGTGTTGTAGATCCGATCCTTTACAGCCAGACTAACATCACGAAGGCGCCAAAGATGGCCCAGATTGGCATAAGCCGCTCTGGCTTTCACTATACGTGCATCGATCTCATCATTCACACCACCACCAGCACATATGCAGCTACCTAGATACACGAACTTCTCGACGACTTCTATATGCTCATCATCCAGGGTGAGTACAGGATTAGAATTCTGCCAGTCATGTAGAAGTACTTTGCACTTCGAAGGTGCAAAGCACATACCATACCTACGGACACTGATTGCCAACTGATTAAGTGCGGATTGCATGGCTTGGGCATTATCGCACAGTAAGACAATATCATCCGCATACTCGAGGTCGAGAAGTCTTTCTCCAAGCAACAGATCCACACCACCATTACTTACATCCATCAGAGCTGTTTCCAGAATGTCATCGATGGCAAAGTTGAAGAGGAATGGTGAGATTAGGTAACCCTGTCTAACCCCACTGCTTGAATGGAACAATGGAGAAGGGTGGTTTTATGTCCTCACTCTACCCGAGGTGTTTGTATATAGGGTCTTTAAGATGTTAATAAACTTCTCAGGTACACCCTTCTCCAATAGACAATCCCAGAGAACAGTCCTGTCCAACGAATCGAAGGCAGCCCTGATGTCAAGAAACACTACGATTGTTGACCTTTGATAAGTATGACGGTGTTCTAACATTTGGCGGAGAGTGAAGATATGATCAATACATCCTCGACCGGAACGAAAACCAGCCTGCTCCTCACGAGTCAATCTTTCCCGGGTTTTGAACAACCTACGAAGTATGATGAAAGCCAACAGCTTGGACGCAATCGGAATTAGACTTATCCCCCAATAGTTGTTACTGGAACGACGTGAACCCTTTTTAAAGATAGGGACAACTATCTACTCATTCCATGACGTTGGTACACTCTCTAGTTCCCAGACCTTTGTAAACAACGTCGTCAGTTCCTTAGTCAGAAAGTCACCACCATCTTTAAGAAGAGTCGGAGGTAGGTCATCTGGGCCCGGTGATTTGCAGTGCTCCAAGAGTTGGAGTTCGTTGCGAACTTCCGCCTCATTTGGTGGATCAGTCGTCACCGGCCATGGAGGGCAGGACAGTCTGACCGATGTTGCCGGAGCAGCAGACCAGTTGAACTGCCCTTCGAAAAATTCGACCCATCGTCCAAGACGTCGATGATGTTAGTGATTGGCATCCCGTCATCCTCGCAGATAGTTCCGCTCACACCAGACTTCTTGCTGCCAGTGGCTCAGATGAGCTGGAAGAGCTTCCGGTAGTTACCAGATGCAGCTGCTGCTTCCAGCTCATTAGCACGCTCCGACCACCAGGTTTCTTGGTCCTTACGCAAGCATTGCCCGATTTCATTACGTAACATCCTTCATTTGAGAAGACTGACGGGCTTTAACGAGTTGTAAGGAACCAGAAGAATTCCAGTGCTTATAAGCAGGACGTTTCGCGAAGCCGTAAGCGACTTATACAGCAGCTCGCCTATGGTGGAAATTCGGTTTTATCTAAACTTTTTCGAGTCACTGCCTGGTTGAAAATTGTATGCTACCACCGAATACGAATACTGAAGCAGTTTTTCTGAAATTGCATCAAACGACTAGTTTATAGATCTACCTCGCTGACGAACACGAATTCTTTATGATACATCACAAAACAGGGTTCATTTAACATTAGAATCTTATTAAAATATTTAGTTTAAAAACATTGAACAGTTTACAAAACATTTTCATGGTTCTTATGTCAATTAAGCTTCCCATATCCGCATCAGTTCCAGGAAAAGACATGGGCGATGCAATTGATTTTCTTGCCGATTATTTAAGTGGGTTGGTCTTGTTTCGTAAGTGAAATTAAAACACTATATCTTAAAAATGGATGCTATCTGAGTACGATGGATTGGATTAAAAGCATTAGAAATATTCAAATTTCCCTGTATTCCCACAGTTTAAAGTCCGAAATATTTTATACTTCTTTTCTGATAGTTGACACTGAGGTGTTTCACACTTTTGCTAGGTACTGACGGAAGTCAGTCATTTACAAACTTATCGAAATAAATGTTTAAAAAACAAAATTGCTTACCAAGTCAATAGTTTGTCTTCTATCATCGCCTGTAAATGGAGGCTGAAAGTGAAAATAATAGGAATCAATTTTCACGTAAAATAATCAAACCAATAAACAATTAAGCGAAGAACTTACAGATCCCGAAAGCATATCATACATAAGCGTGCCAAGACTCCACCAATCAACGGCTCTCCCGTGTCCTTGACGTAACAATATTTCGGGAGCCCTACAAAATGAACACGAAATTGATACTAATATCTCAAAAAGACCACTAAACAGACGAGACTGAATAGTGAGTGTTAACGCAATTTAAAGTTCTCACGCTACTAGAGAAAAAAACAAGAAACAAGTTGTATGCCTTGACAAATCTTTGTATCTTTGATTACGTGGACGAGATCACGAATAAAAACACTTCCAGAACATAACATTCAAAGTTTATTTAATTAGAAAAAACCAAAAGCGATGTACTGAAACAGCTGCTTTACAATCAAGTTGAAGATAGAATTATTTGATTTCAATAAACCCGCTTTACCTATAACAAAAAAGGTATATACTAGTATCTCGTCTTTCCACTACCATACATAAAATTCCCTTATAAACCCCTTTGTAATACTGCAAATTAGATAGAAACGAAAATGAGAAACAAAAAACCCTGAATCGATGGTCGGAAAAGTGTGCTTGCCGTGAAGCTCCGAAATTTTGAAGTGAGTGAGGCTTGCTAAGAGATCCCGAAGTAACCAGAAAAGCCGTTTAGTGCTCATTAAGGTTAAGTGGCTTATCAGCTGAAGCCAGTTCATGAAAACCATATAAAAATTGGGTTGACTTGTACAACTACTTAAATGGACAGGGTTGTACTTTTTCCAGCTTTACTTGTCATAAACAATACTCAGATACGCTCTAAAATTATTTAGCACTTACATGTACTCAATAGTCCCGCAGAATGTGTGAGTTAAATTATCACGATCGACTCTCTCCTTAGACAATCCAAAATCCGTCAGTTTAACATGACCTTGATGGTCTAAAAGTACATTTTCGGGTTTCAAATCTCGATAAACAATCCCCATCGAATGAAGATGACCAATGGCAAGAGTTATTTCCGCCAAATAAAAACTGAGTGGAACAGAAGAGAAAAAATCAATCTAAGTTAATTGAACGCATCATTTCTAAAGTCATTTACCAAATAAAATGAACGATAAAACGTGCTGGAAATGTTTTACTTTTCAAATACCTGATTAGAGGTTTAGAAATAAAAATTTTAGGTCGCATATAAAATGACAAACCTTATTTGCCTGATTTCGCACCCTTAATTAAACGAAAAGAGCTCAGTCGTGTGCGGACAATTCGTAAAAGCTAAGATAGCACAGTATTACCATCCTACAATAAAAACTGCAACTTCTAAATATCGTCCTCCAAGTCGACTTATTGATATTACGAACCAACTTAAATTAGACATCTAGTGAAAATCAGGAAGCACTGAACTTTTCAGCCGCATGAGTACACGAGCTTACGACAACGGAAAGTAGGACCTTGGATCTCTGCAGAATGCTTAACCCGTAGGACTTTAGATTCTAACCTAATGATGCTTGTGTTCAACTTTGGTCGATTCGTGATATTCAATACGGATGTTTCGATGATCTCGATGAGCTTTGGGCACAAAGACCTTGATTAGAATTTTCAAAAACATTAAATTGCTTGAGATCCGGATGGGCTGCGTAATGAAGCATTTTATTGAAGTCACTAGAAAGTACTTGAAGATTAACATACTGTAATTGATGGAAATCATATGATTCCAAAAACCTGTTGACGCGAATGGAAACATGGTAAGTTTGTAGTCAAAACTCGGAGACTATATTTTCTGAGAAATCTCTAACACACAGAACCATGAAGCAATGAGAACTATGTAGTTCAGATAATGATAAGTGGGTGATACAGTTCTTAACTGACTAGTTTGAAATTGAGTAAGTGTACAAAAGACAATTCTCAATGCTTTTATTAGTCATGTTACTTTGACGAAACTAAGAATCACAGAAACTTATGTCTTCTAAACACCAAAATACCGCCTTGAGCATTTTGTAACAACTTTTCTTGTGATTTTTTGCTGTAAAATAAAGTGAGTTGTTTCATTACGCCTGAGGCCAACTGGACTATACTCCTTTAACAACATTATCAAACCTTAATGTCCCCTATCTCTACTTATACTTTCAGTACATCTAACACTATGGGATTTGAATCGATAACTGAATCTCTGTGCTAATGTGGTATGGCAACTCTAACTGATGTACGTACGTACGAAGTTCCACGTTGTTACTGACTGACTGAGGCCAACATAAAGTTACATAAACGAATACTACTTATCAAAACTTTTTCGATCAGTTTTGGAAACAAAACTCAAGTTAATAAGTAGCGCGTATATACGGAGACGAAATCAACAGGGTGCATAAGCAAACTTACCTGGCTTGATCTTCCATAAACACTCCCTCTTTCTCAAGTTGCATGAACAGCTCACCTCCAGCAAGAAACTCCAAGACTAGGTAAAGCTTCCCAGGGGATTGGAAAGCAAAATGCAATTGAACCAGAAATGGATGCTACACAATGAGTATGACATTGAGGACGTACTTTAATCATTTCGAGTATATTCCTCTCACTTTTAGTGTGTGCAGTATCCTTTGCGTTGGTCACAATCGAGGCTTTTTTTAAAACTTTCATGGCATAGGTTTGACCAGTGTCATTTTTGCGTGCAAGAAAAACCTATGTACATATATAGTAAAACAATGTCGAAGTTGTACTTTTCCATAACCACCTTTCCCAAGGACTTTCAGAAGTTGAAAATCATGTGGCCGAACTTTAGGCTGACCAGGATTCACTGTCTCTTCGCAAATTTCAACTGTTTTGATGTTTTCATCGAGTCTACAGATTAATTAAAGCAAAAATCTTTTAATCTTACTCATCTGGCTTAAGTGGGCCACGTTCAAGAAACTCATCCTATAACACTAGTTTTAAAATGAAACACCTTACCTCTACCCCTCCATTTGTCGAGCAATAATCGTGAGAATTTTCTTCACTGTCATCATAACTTGGAGCTTCCGGCATATCCAAATGAAACACACCAGTACTAGTCATTTTTGGGCAATCCACATTACGACCAGACCAGTTATAAACAAAGCGCTTTGAAAAATAAGCCACGTAGTTAAACAAAATTCCATCACTCTGCATTTTAGCCTCACGTGCACTCAAATAGCTCAAAATGACTGTCCGGAAAATAAAAGACACGATTCACTGTTGCTCTCACTACACATAGATGGGTCAATGCTGTATATGACGACAGGAAAATTACTTAATTTTATAATTATAATGAAAAAAATGAATCTTACATCGCTTCAGTCAAGCTGTACATATGATTATATTGGTAACAAGGAATCTCAACAGTAACATCTTTAGTTTCAGCGTTATTATTTTTATTCATTACTGTATATTTCATGACGTGCAAACATTACCGTTTTGTCTGTGTTGTACCACAAATATTTGTTAACGAACCTTCAACTCAACTCACAGGTTATCATTACGAACTCCGATGAATCCTGTTTCACTGAGTTTTAGAGTTATTTTATCATCAGTTTACATTGAAAAAATATATAGATCCAAAGCTTAAGAATGTCATGCTGAACAACTCAACAGAAGGTGATGCCGTGAACTTTTTGAGCTTGCTTTATAAATTCATCCCATAACTTACTTTGCTTAATCCAAAATTCAGTTCAGGTATTGGAAAATCCTCTTACAAACCTCGAAATATTTTTCTGAACTGGTTTTTACCGTCAGAGGTAACCGCTGAAGTTTATGACTTGAATAACAATGTCCAATCGACCGATATATGATACTGCAGCGGTAAATAAATCCCCAAAATAAGTACTTCTGTAAGCTTTAGACACTTCGTTCTGATCTCATTAGTTTTAATGGACACATCTAGTGAAGTGGCACTCCGCACCATATCATGTGGGGTTATGCCGTGCTACGCATTTCCCACAACAGTTAGCTAGCTTAGATCAAACGCTTCTAGAGATACCCATTGACTTTCACATGTAACTGTGAACCTCTTCACTTCGGATTAGACTGGGTTGTCATACCCCTATTTAAAAGGTGCTACTGGCAAATGTTAAACTCCGAATACTTCTGATACTTCCGAGCCCGACGTGATCTGGTACACCAATTCGTAAAATGTGAGTCCTTTCCAAGTCGGAACATTATGTATCATTTTTTTAATTTTAAATATTGTGACATTGTTTTCGAATATTCTTCTTCGTGTTCGTCGGTATATTTCATTTCCATCACTGCAAAACAGACGCCTAATCTGTTTAAGACAAAGACGTATTCACCTCCCTCATTTCAGCGACTGCCGACCGGTCCGATAATACGGGGACCTGGTCCTGCTACACACAAACTGACTTCAACAAGCACGGTCTGACAGACCCACATTCACAATTCCTCACAATGGTGAAAGCACTACCACGCGATTTTAACAGGTACGTCAAACCTAGAAAAGCTATCTTTAAATGTGAAGATCTAAGCAAGCGACAAAGATTAGACCAACTCATCAACAACATCAAACTGCAACATGGATCAGCAACAGAAGTGTTATTATGAGTGGGAGAGGTCGTTGGTCAACGGGTCTGTTTAAACAGCACTTCTTGCTTAGTCTTCCCCGACAGGTGCAAGCGGTACTTGTCTAATATTAAAGTAACCCTGTAAACGAACTGGCTGAATCCGCCGACCGGATTCTGGAGATCGTCAGAAATTCCAGCGCCGAGGTGTATTCAGTCAAAGAAAAACGTCAAACTACACTAAATGACTTCACAGACTTCTCTCAGACTCTGACACATTAACCTAACATCCGTCATAACCGTATACGATCCAAAACTTCTCGAAGGATTTCAAGAAAGCGAGCTGCCTCTAGATGACGAGAGGTAAATAACTCTGACTAGTCTCAGCACTATAATATGAGCGGAAAATCTCAAAATTGCAGAGAACACTGCAATTTACCGAGTTTCAAACCATCTGACACGAAAAATGTTTCGGGAAACTTCCCAGTCTGCACGCGTTAACGGCAACCGTTGCCGGTGAGCATAGTGTGGTAAAGAAAAATCGCTACCTCATCGACACTGGTGCAGCAGTCAGAGCTCTACTAGCAAATTCTAAAGGTCGACTGCACGAATCAGTTTCTAACTTACAGGTGGTAAACGAGAAATCAAACACCACATATGGTAAGTGGTATGTGTCTTAACGTGAGTTTACACAAAACCCACTCAGTAGATTTTCGTTGTTGCAAATGTTTCTATGCCAATCATTGGTATGGGCCTGCTACAACACCTCAATTTACTTATCGACACATGGCAACGGAGGTTAGTAGATGAAAATACTAATATGTTTTTTTAACATCATTGTCCGGCTGTAGATTGTCCCCATTCACAGTAAGGCACATGACTGGTTCATGCTATCAACAAATTTTCTATAAGTACTCCGAGATATGCTAAATTGTCTCCTGAAAAGCAAAGTGGCAAACATTCTGGATTACTTACAATCCACGACAATCAAGTTACTACGCACGTACAGCGGCCTAGCTAGTTTCTAGAGATCATTAGTACCAAATTGCACGTCTCTCATGAGACCTCTAACCGTGGAAATGCGATAAAGACATTCTCCAAAGTTAAGTAACTTAGCAACTGTTCTCTCATACCAGGACATCAGAGCACCCATTAGTAATCGGAGTCATAAGACAATCCGTAAAAAACAACTGATAACCTTTGACATTCGCTTCGAGACGGTATAGCAATTTCGGTAGTAAACTCTTAGCCATGTATTTCGTTGTGTGGCACTTTCAACACCAAATGGAAAGTCGAGGATTCGCCCTGTCTATCGACAATAAACCTCTTATCTTCTTCATAAGCTCGTATACATACAAGTACTCCTCTCGAGAGTCTCGACAAGTCGACTACATTTTGCAGTCTGCTTCAAGTATACAACACATTTCTGGGACAAATAATGTAGTTGACGACAACTTGTCTCGTATAACTTCCTTGTAAAGTTTCCCAGCAGTCAACCTTCTTAAACTCGTTCAGCTTCAAAAAGAGGAGACTTGTCTTCAGCACGAGCCCATTGCAGAACCATTTTGTTGACCTGGCATGAATATAAAAGCGAGGCAGTGGGTATGCTCTTGTGTAAGCTGCCAGAAATCTAAGCTGATTAGACACAACAAATGTCCCTTAGGTTCTTTTACAACTCTCGATGCTCGTTCCGATCATGTTTACTGGATTTGGTAGAACCCCAAGAGATTCAGATTGACACTGTCTCCTCCTAACAAATGGGGACCGTTTCACACGATGACCAGAAGCAATACCAAACAAGCACATTTCTGCTAAAACAGTAACCCGCCCCTTTGTCAAACGATGGGTTGCAAGCTTCGGCTTCCCTTCAACTATCACTACAGACCTTGGACGCCATTTCGAATATGGACATTCCCGTGTCTGACTGCAACATTAGAAATCACAAGATTCCCAACAACCGCCTACCACCTACAAGCAAACGGGTTGGTGGAACGATTTCACCGACAGCGAAAAGCTTCACTCTCAGATGCAAACGTTTCACAATGGACTGATTCTCTTCCACCCGTGTTACTCGAAAGTCGCAATGCAGTGAAAGCTGACATTGGATACACTGCAGTACAACTTGTGTACTGAACGAAACTCCGACTTCCAGGATCCTTCTTGAATTACTCATCTTATGGATCTCAACTCTTACTTGAGCAGACTTACAAACGCCATGCGTTCAGTTAAATCTGTTTCCACTCGACCGCAGTCAACTGATGTTTTCGTTCAACCTGACTTACGATATGGTACACACGTTTTCGCAAGTCGAGACTCACATCGATGACACTCAAAACAGCATACGAATTACCATTTAAAGTTCTTCAGTGTGAACCTAAGTATTATATAGTCGACAAAAACGGAACTAACGACAACATCAGCAACGGTCGTCTCAAAGCCACGTATTTAGATGGAGACCCTAATAACGTTGATTTTCCTCCTAAACAATCGAACGACATATTCCCCACAATTACGACAACCCACCCGATAATCAACAGTCACAATGAGACCTCGGTGGTATCTGACAGCCGGCCCTAAATAATGCGAAAGGAAGGGTGAGTTTTCCCGAACACTCGAACGTCTACTACACATTAGACACAACATAAAATCTCGTTTCATTTCGTTATTTTTTAATATCGTGTCAAAAACAGAAACAAACATTTCCCGCTAATTTGTTTATATGTATATATTTTTATGTCCAAAATAAACCAAAAATATCGCCGTGCGAAAATCGTTTATGTGCTATTGCATATTATCAAAACACATGTATACAAGTTTACTTCCTTTTTCGCCCGTTCTGTGCCCTTACACACTTCCACATGTAATTACATTTCCTTGTTTTCTTTACTAGAAGGATTGGAAAACATGAAAAACTGTCGAAGCTTACGATGAATCGAAGTTTTCATTGTGCTGTTTTTCATTGCTATTAAGTATTACACGGCTCCTATAGTAGTGACAGGTGACGGATGCCTCTGCTTTTGATCTTGAGATGTGATATCTTTCAAGTTCTCGATGCTCTTCAGTCATGGTAATGTTTCCCTTGCCTTCCTAATCAGTGCCCTAGTGTGTGACCAGGCCTGCCTTTCTTAACAGCTATTCATCCTAGCAACATGAAGGCTCTAATTTTCGTTAGAACTTATGCCATCAGACATGATTTGAATGATTGTATTTCAATATATATCTCTTTCTGTGGAGAATATTAAGACATACATCTTCAGAAGTCTATGGTACACGGATTATCCGCGTCTGCATTTTTCTGTGTACAGAATATAAGGGCCGAGTCATCCACGAAGCCCAGGTCGTTAGAATTCAATCAAAAAACAGATGAAAGAGGAAGGTGGTAGTGAGCAGTCCTACTTTCTTCAACAAGCTGGAGTTCAATGCCGCCTCGGGTTTAAAGAATTCTGCCATCAAACGTTATAGGCTTGACAATAGGAGCACTTCAGGCCGAAAAATTAGCCAATTCAATAAGTTTTTCGTAAACAGAATACACCCATTGAGACATCAAATAAAAAAGGTTGGTTCAGCAAA